GACCAGCAGCTGCTACACACAGCACGCGAGGAGCAGGAGCTGGACGCGTGCTCCTCTGGAGCCCAGCTGACGAGCCTGTCCCACGGCAATGCCTTCACGGGAGAGCCAGCACGGTGAGCAGCAGCATCCGTCCCTGCGCTCAGAGCCCGCGCGTGTGTCTGCTGCAGAGGGAACCCAGGGGGTGTGCCGGAGCCAAAAGGCTGCTCCACTTCTCCCTTCCTCCAACGACCCCGCGAGGTTTTCCCCTCCAGGTTCCAGCCCCCTGGACCATCGCCCGTTTGGCTCCGAAGGGCAGGAGCAGCGATGCCCAGCACCAGGCAGCGCACCCGCACCGGGTCACCGCGGCTGGGAAAGCAAGAGCCACAGCCTCTGGTGAGCCTGGCTGCCCCCAGCCAGCCTCCTTGGACCAGCCAGCCTCCTCGGACCAGCCAGGCTCATTTTGTTCTTTTTCTCCTTTTCACAGGGGCTGGGAGGGGTCCGACAAGCCCCCATCCCTCGGGGGTCACTGTGAGCAGACGTGACCACGCAGGGCTGGGACAGACGGTCACACCACCAGGATGGAAAGAGAGGAGAAGCAACTAGTGACACACTATTATTCATCACCAATTCTAATTAGCCACAGGAGGCTCAGTTTTAAGATTCTCGCAGCCAGGTCTCTGTCCCCTGGAACGGGCCAGGTCACCTCGTGTCCCAGCAGAGGGACAAGGCCAGCTGACCATCACTCGCTGAAGGGGCACAGAGCTGAGCGTGGCAGGCAGCTTCCTCTCCTGGGAAAAGTGGAAAAGCCATTCCTTCCCCGAAAGCAGCGAGCGGTGCGAGGGCTGCAGCTCAGGGATGTGACAGAGGGTTTTGCTGGAGGCGGCAGCTCCCCGTTCCCCGAGGATTTGCTCCTCTGCCAGTCAAATCATCTTTTTTCAGGAGGGGAGACAGTAATTCATCATTTTGCAAATTGACTCCAGGTTAAAAAAAAAAAAAAAAGAGCACACTGTGAGAATGACAGAAATCCTGTACCAAGGGCTGGTGTCGTGGAGGAATAGCTCCCGGGATAACTCAGCCTCCGGCCTGCCTTTAAAAACAGCTGGACCTGGGGGGAAGCAAACCTTCCATACTGGGATTTCAAAAAAGTCTTAAAAGGCCAACATTGCTTACTGGGTCCTTCTTGTTTGTTTTGGTCCAGGCAAAAAGCGTGGTTTGGATTTTTTACGAGAGCAGGCTGGGAATGAGAGCTGTAACCATTCCGATCGGCATCACAAACACAAACCACAACACAGCCGCAACCTGCGCGAGAGCTCGCGGTGTCCGATCAGCCCGTGCAGCAAAGCGGCACATCTCGCACCCAGGAAGCACGCAGGGCTGTGCGTCCTACTCACCGGCTGCTCAGAAGACATCGCCCTATTTACAGGCCAGCGGAGCTCTCCGGCAGACAAGGATCTATATTCACGGCTCCGTTAGGAACCCTGAATAGCACCAGTCGAATTTGGAAACAAAAATTCTCCTTTTAATGCACACACTGCCTTGCAAATAACTTACAAATCCAGGCTCTAAGCTGGACTTTTGCACAGAACTCATAGTGCTGAGTTCCCCTGTTTTGCTGCAGGGATGAAGAAGCACAGCACCGGTGACTGCTCCTGTCGCCCCTCGGCCACCCCCCTCCCCACGAGCCGTCGGAGCACCCGTCGGGGCAGCCAGCCACGCCACCAGCACCTGCCTGGTACAAAATATGTTTAAAAATCATCAAGTCTCAAAGCACGGAGCGTGGCAACATTTTGAGGCTAAATAATGAGTTAACCAAGAAGGCAGATGCAGCGAACCCACCCCACGCAGCAGTGGAAGCCCGCGGCTGACGTTCAGGATTTCAGCCCAGGAGCCCGCGGTGCCGGGCGATGTCGCAGCGTTTTGTTCCCTTCTGTTAATTCCAGAAAACTTCAGATGCCCACGTTCCTAAACGGAACCTCTTGTTCCCTGAATTTTGTATTAATTAGAACAAAAGGGTTAAACCCCTCCGTGCTCAGGTGCTTTGCTTCACCTGAAGCAGTATTTTTGTTTAAGCAAGAAAATTAACTCTGGTTTGTATCCACGGATAACATTCAAACAACAAAATGGAAATGTGCTGCTTGCACACAGCGGGCCCGTGGGCAGCACCCAGGCTGCTCCCCTTCACATCCCACAA